TGAAGAATGTCTGGAAATTGTGAAACAAAGAGGTTCAAGTGCTAGTAGTTGGATATAACAGACCAGAAAGTGAGGGATGAAAGGAGAAAAAAGGAGGGAGACGCGTAGGGTACATAGAGAATTATCGTAGAGCGGAGCGAAGTAGAAGTCACTTTAATCTTTCAAATAAACTTTTTTTCTTCATTCAATCTATATATTTACTATAACGAGTCACCCTTCTTCTACATCCTTCTTTTACTCTCCGCCTCTCCCCTCTTCCATAATATTGAATCCAAGTCATTCAACTATCGAGGCACGCCCTCCCCTTTATCTCGTATCACCTCACCGTAACGGGCTTCCTTTACCGGGAGTCCACCCACTACCTCCTCCAAAGCTAGAAAATCCACTTCCATTTGCACTCCCACTTCCCCCAGAGCCAAACGGTAACGCCCCGAGTGGCTTTCGAACCGGTGTACTTGGTCCCTTTAAGCTTATACCACCATCTTCGTTTCCATTTGCTGGTGGAGTGTTGGTTCTACTAATATCCCTCCCCTCTCTTTCTCTCTCCCTTTCTCTTTCTTTCCTAGCATTGAAGCTTGGAGGTCTAAAATTGCACGCTTGTCCTTGTCTGTAAACTTCAGCTAACAATTCCTCCACTAACATCCCCCCAACTTCTTCTGACGCAGTCCATTCTTCCCATTTTTTCCATAATCTCAACGCTGTTCTTGCATCTTCAATACTATCATGCGTCTCGACTTGAATATCTTCTCTGAATAAATACCATGCCAAGAACGCCAATCCCAATTTCCTCTGTTTAGCTGGTATAAAGAAAAGATCAGCTGTATCAATCACATGTGATTTTGGTATCTGTATATTAATGACTCTAAAGTCTGTTTTGAGCCCATGACCAACAAATTTACATCCAAGGTTTAATAGAATCCAGAGTTTCTTGTAAGCAATCTTGAGAGAAACGAGGTTGTGTTTCGTTTTTTGTGGATCGAGGTCACCAGGACTAATGCCCGAATAAGACGTCAAATAGTCGATAATCGGATCTTTGCAATTGATGTAATCATCAATAAATGGATATCCTTCATCATCACCCGAGCCTCGAACAACAGAGACACGTGCTAGAGCGTGCGCAATAGGTCGAATCGTTTGTCTTTCGCCTTCGGAGTTGACTTCGATTTCGGGTTGACGAATAGAGACAAACTCGGTGTCGAGAGCTATGAGGGTTCCTTCCGTTGGCATCTCACGATCTGGGGAGAGAGGTTTGTGAGTTTTATTAATGACGCGAGTACTTGAGGCCTGTTAGCAATTGTAAGAGGTCGAATAGAGAGGAGAACAAACTTTTCATCGGCAAATAAAAGAGAAGTGTCTAAATTGTCCTTCCACGAATTATCAATCCTATTATTCGTTTCCTTCAATTGATAAGTGATAACGGATGGTAGTTTCCAGCTCGAATTAAAAGATAAAGCATCTTCTTTTGGTATCGGAGTGACTAGGAAATCATTAAAGAGATGCCATTGACTTTCTGCTGGTGGAGTGGGCGCAGAATGAGCAACTTTGATATATCAGTACATGTAAAAGCAAAGGGGAATATGAGTTTCACCATTTATCAAAGATACTAAATGAGGTTTTTCATTTTGCCCGACATCAATTTCCGCAGCGAAACCTACTAAAGAATAAACAGTAATGTTATGAGCACCACGTGCTATGTGAAGTCTCAAATCTTCGCCTTGATAACAGTAGATTTGACCCATGTTAATGATAGTTCCTATCTCTTCTGGCAAACAACCTGGTGTTTCCCAAAACTGTTTTGACTCAGGACTTGTAAGATTTGCATTGAGCATAAGGACTGGTGGTGAGGTGTGGATGGTCTTCTTCGTCTGTAAAGTTTGATACTTTCTACAAGTCCCACACCATCCGCGATTTGTTGTTTCTCGTTCAATGCTTGCTTTCAGAATTTCACAAAATGATTTCTTAGGCATTGGTGGTGCCTTGCCATTTCGATTATATGGTTTCTGACATGTTTAGCATGATTCAAATGCTGTGTTGAAGTACTGAACTTACAGGTGGTGTTTGCGGATAAGTTAGTTCAATAGAAGAGGATCCTCCTGGTCGTGTGTGCTCACTTTTACAAAAGACACACCTAATATTCATTGTGACGGGCATAGAAAAAACCTAGATGATCAGCAATAATCTTGACGAAAGTATCAGATCAGGTACTAACACGCTCAAATATGTTCGACCCACTAGGAACGCTTTTGAATTCTTGTGGAATCCTATTAAGAAAAAATTGATTTAATGACTGAAGTAAAGTTGAGATTGAACCTCCACGTGATTCTTCCTCCAATAAGTGCATGCTCTTAGCTATCAAAGTATCAGCAATGTATATATTATTCTCAAGAGGTTACTCACCCTCTGGAATATGGCTAAATGTTTTTAGCAGGTTTGTCGCTTGACATACAGTTCCCGCTGCTTTCTCCAACATATCAAACAAGAAACCCATTTCGCACAATAAACACATATCATTAACACAACCCGTCGCAGTGTGTTTCAAAGCAAAATTTCGAATGAGAATCGTGAATCTCATTATTTGCAACAAGGAATTAGCATATGAATTCGAGATATGAGTCTCGAGCCCCGAATATGAAGTCTTGTTGTAGTATCTACCTGACATTAGCCAATTCTTCAGAAAGGGGAATTGATACCTACCCAAAATCAAAATCATCGACTCCAAACTTGCTATACTTAATCTCAACATTCATGTAGAAAGCACTGTTACCTGCTTGTAAAGTCGGGAGCTTTTTATCCCTAATGATTTCGGCAATTTCATTAATACCACGTTCAGGGGTTGCATCATTGACGCCCTCTCTAGCCCTTTCGCTCAGGAATTTTGGCGTTTGTATACTTGGTTGGGTCCTCTCGGCCGTTCTCCTACTCTCTATCTGATTTCTTCTTACATCCTTCCTTGCATTTTTGCCATAGATCATCCCATCTCCAACTTTAGGATTCATAATCCAATTTGGGTCAACCTTGACAGGCGGAGCACCGACTTCGAAAATGAGATGACTCGGCCATGCAGATAAAAGATTTTCTCGATAATATGGCATACCGATTGAATTCAATGGACTATTTGATGTTCAATTAGCAAGACCAAAAAGTGGTGAGTTTTCCACACTTACGTATCGTCGCGAATTTCGAGAATTCCACGAACAGGCTTATCCTCCGTATCCGCAAACTCAATAGGAGCGCTGAGCTCGGCAAATCGAATATTGCCGCGCGAGCCCCATATATGTACACTGTTTTCCATATCTGATAACGCAATGGCGTTTCCTGTGGCTGCAATCTCCAGAGATCTCAATGTGGTTAAGACATTTGCTTGTCTGACGTTGCTCGAATTCGGGTTGATCAAATCAACTATGTGAATTTGACCCTGCTGGGAAACAATATAACAGGTGGTCAACATGCGCGGGTGCATTCTAACAAATGCTGCTCCTGGAGGAAAGGGAATGGGAGGTAAAGTCGACAATGTCCTAAGATTAAGCACCATGACAAAAGTATCAAGCCTGTATGCTGATCCTTGATGTGGTAATGAATATCCACAAGTGAGTAGATAGTCACTTTGCACATCCATATCGTTGATGAGTGCTGTGTGAGCCTGCCAAGTCTTGGTCACAGTGAAGCTGTAAGGATCGAGTATACAAACGGACCCCGTCGGTGTGGCCGCACAAATGGACCGGCTCCTTTTCATGATCTTATAGTGATTGTTCGTAGGTACCTAGAAATTTAGAAGGAATTCCTCGTATTCGCGGAGTACTATACCTGCTTCGTGATAACCCCTTTGTCCACATCAATTATGAACATCTGGTCCTGGATCCCCGCAACTAGTATCTCTGATGTTCCCCTCGAAGTATAACTCATACATCGTAAGTCCTTCATATCCTCGTGACTATATCCGCAAAAGTATCAGTTCTGATCTGCGAAGCTTCCTGGGGGGAGTGTCGTACGTAATGTGCCATATGTGTAAACCCCTCCTCGATGCCATGTGAACGCTTCTCCCTCCCACTGAAATAACTCCTTTATCATGGAACAGAAATTGACGAATTGGATCTTGACCAGCCCTGTAGGATGTATATCCTATACCTTCGAGGCCATAGAAGCTTTTGACGCGTCCCAGTTCATCCCCAATCCAAAATAACTCTTGAGAGGAATCAAATGCTCTCGCGGGAGCTTGCGTAGGATCTGGATGCACACCCGAAGGCGGCAACTGAAATCTAGTGACCTTATTAAGATGTTTAGCAATCCGTTGAATAGAGAGTTGAGCTTCATAATCAATTTGACCTTGATTAGAACAAGCCATGACAGCTAATTCATTGCTGTGGAATAACAATGCTGAGGGCATGGGATAAACAAGGCTGAGAAACAGCATAGCATGTTGTAACAAGATCAAAGTTTAGAACCTATTTTGTGACGATAAAGGAAAGTAGAACTCACTTCCTCCCAATCACCATCCATTTTGGACAAAATTACCATTACCAATCCATGGTTGTGTATATAAAATATATTATCGAGTTCCAAAATATGAAGGTTAAGGATGTTGATGGGGTGGAGTCCTTTCATTATTCTGCCATGCCACTTTCATCCTATTTGGTTTTAGTCAGACTTACAGGGTATTTACCGCCCAAGAGGAGCTCCATTAGAATCCAACAGCATCGAAACCTCCAAATACCGAATTCCGCAAACATGCAAACATGAAGCGCCAAAGCCCATTCAAAGCTGAGACGCGCCCAATGTCAATGTGCAAACACAAGGGATTTATAAATGTAGGTTTGTATCTGGCATTTCCTTTTATTCATCTCAAAAGTGCCATTTCAGATGAACATACAAAGTTATCAATTGATTCATTTGGCATTCTTTTTCTTTCGTCGTTTCTCGTGAAATCCACTCAATAAAGCTGGTTGGAAGTACCCCTCCCCCTCCATCAACCCATCAACACAACTCTTTGACAGCTCTTCAATATGAATTTCTATGATGGCGCATTCCTGGTATTAATATCAGCATGTGGTCTTCTTACATGGCGACAATATCAAAGAAAAGAAGAGTCCACAGAAGATAGGAAAAACAATGATGATACTACCCCTCTAGCAAAGGCAGAAGCAAGCCGCTTCACCAAATTATTCCTTACTGTCTATTGTCTTGTGATGGCATCGGATTGGCTTCAAGGTAATATATCTCTCTCAATTAGACAATTATCATATCACTAACATTTGAATAGGTCCCTACGTTTACAGTCTTTACAAAGATCAATTTGGGCTTGATGAGAAAATCGTAGCATTACTCTTCACCACTGGCTTTCTATCTGGTGGCATATCAGGATATTTTGTTGGATCATTCGCAGATAAATATGGTCGCAAATTAGCATGTCTCGTCTTCTGTCTTACCTATTCACTTTCATGTTTTTCAACCATCTTTCCTAGCACTCCGATACTGTTCGTTGGACGAATCTTTGGAGGTTTAAGTACAAGCTTGATGTTTAGTGCTTTTGAAAGTTGGATGGTTACGGAATATCATAAAAGGAATATACAAAAAGCTGGGACGAGTTTGAATAGTATGTTTGGAGTTATGTCTACTCTGAATAGTGTCATGGCTATTTTGTCAGGTGTTTTTAGCGAATGGCTGGTTCAGATTACAGATGATAGAAGAATGCCATTTATGGCTTCTGCATGTCTTTTGGGAGTTTCTGCATACATCATTACTGTATATTGGGTGAGATCCTTCATTCCTAGAGAAGTCTCTGTCCTTAACTAATTATGATTCCAATAGACCGAAAACTACGGCGATAGTGCAACCAAAGCCCAAAAATCCACCTCTGGCACTTCTAGCAACTCCGAAACTTCCCCAACCTCACCCGATGCTAATGCTCCCTCGCGCACCTCCAAATCTCCCCCTCCTACAACCTCAGCCCTCAGTTTAATCTTCACCAACCCACGAATCTTCACTCTCGGTCTCGCTTCCTGTTTCTTCGAAGGTAGCATGTACCTCTTCGTCTTCTTCTGGACCCCCTTTCTCAAATCCACACAACCATCTCCCTCCTCCCCACCCCTCCCTCTCGGCATGATCTTCGCCTCATTCATGTCCTCGGTCATGCTCGGTTCCCTAACCTTCACCCAACTCTCCTCCACCTTCCCCTCTCTCACTCAAACTCGTCTCCTCACAATCATCTTCGCCATCTCCTCCATCTCCCTCCTCTTTCCCCTCCTCACTGAAAATCAACATTACACCTTCTACGCCTTCTGCATGTTCGAAGCAATGGTCGGTATGTACTTCCCATCCGTGGGATCCCTCAAGGGGAAATGGATAGAAGATGGTGTTCGAGCACGAATCTATGGTGCATTGAGAGTTCCATTAAATATCTTCGTCGTAGTTAGTCTTGCGCTCGTGAGAGAGGGAGAAGAATATCGACGAGGAGTGTTTTTAGTATGTGGAGGCTTGTTGGTGGCCATTAGTGGAATTTTTTATAGATTTGTTAGGGGGAGTTAGATGTTGGAGTAGATTAGATGTTAGATGTCAGATTAGGGAGGCCCGTTGTTCGGTTGAGTGGAGTGTACTTGGTATTAGGTATATATAGATATATGAAAATCGGAATGAATAAATAAATGGATGGATGAATGAATAAATATACTTGAGACGCGCATTATACATATCATTTCAGAGCCCTTATATTTTAAAAGTAGGAATAGAAGTAGGAATAGAAGTCAAAATGGAAATACAAATACAGAGAAATCCCTCATACCCCTTGTCCCCTTCCAAGATCTTGTAATCATCCCAATCCACATCATACTCTCACACTTTCATACTCCCATATCACCACATCACTACACCGATTAATCCCTCATCAAACCCAGGCTTTAAGTAAAGTGGAAGCCTACTGTGAATTTATGAGTTCGCCTCTTTCAAGCTATGATGATGATCTTAGACATGTTTATTATATGATATTATAAGAATATCATGACTCCAATACTCATGCATACTCATATAATCAACCCATCATACAGCCCATCACCCATCACCCATTCCACAACCCCCTCCCCCCAATCAAACAGCCAATCAAACAGCCAATCCAATATCCAGCCCCCTTCTCCTATTATATATATACAACGCAGCTATCATACAACCCAACCCAACCCAACCCAACCCAACCATCACACCATACAACTCCCGCACCAGAAAAGCAACCGCAAAATCGGATTTAATTCACCCCACCTAACCTAATCGATCTCAATATACAATATACATTTCATTTTTCCTATCTCCTCATATCACTATAATCCTTTCCTCTCTCCTCTCTCCTCTCTCCTCTCTCTCCATATTTAACATCCAACACCCAGACAGAAAACCAACCAACCAACCAACCAAACAAACAAACAAACATCCAAGCTATCATCTACTCATCCACCCACTCATTCATAAACCTACAGTTTCATTTATGTCGGGTACTTGGGGGTAGGTATTTAACTACAAATACCTAATCTTCACTCCACTCCCCCTCCCCTCTCACATACAAACATACGCACACACACACAAATCCAAAGTCAAAGTCAAAATCAAAGTAAAAGTCAAAGTCATGATAAAAATAAGAAAGAGCAAAATAAAAAAAGAGAAAGATGTTTCGTATTTCATCTTGGTATCATATCTACTACAAAAGCACTCAAACTCATCTCATCTCATCTTATCCCATTCCATCCCATCCATCCACCTATCCATTCCATATTCTATCTCAATCCAACTCAACTCAACTCGATCAATCCAATCGTATTCTACCCTACCCTATCATATCCATACCATACCCATCACCGATTCCAGTCCCCGGGAATATCCTCTATCCATATACCGCGTTCGCATATCCTAAAGATTGCAATCTCGGTTTCCCTCCCGAAATGGTATCTATCTCGTCTCGTCCTATCCTAACTTAGTTCATCACTCTTCTTCCCCCAACCCTCAAAAGTAAAACGTAACGCAAAACTCAATCCTAGAGATCATTTCCATTCCATAAGTACCTCCATATTTAGTCCTATGAAAATCGTATCCCAGATGCGAGTTCGAGTCTTTCGTTCGCTTCAAGTACCGATCGTTCCTCGCAAGGCAGATCTGCCTATTCGATCGCTTCTCTTTTGATGTTTACATCTCCCTCTCCGTAAGAAAAAAAAAAAAGCACATGGAGTTCATAATTCCTCCAGCATATCTGTCATGAACAAAGGAAATATGTAGAAAAAGAAATTAAAAGTCCAGCATGCTCGAGTAGTGAGAAAGCCGTGTACGAATGATCGGGTAAAATAAAAGTGATAAAACTCCCGCTTGCCCCCCTTGAAAATGCAACGAATGCAATGAATGTACATTGATCGCACCAAAGGAAATTGTGTACCGGAAATTCGTAAATGGGTGCCAATAGTATTGAAATGTCTCATCGAATCATTCTGATTCAATACATTTTCAACCTTGGCTTATAATAACTCTTGCACCTTCCTTTCCTAAGATACCCCTCTCCTGTGGCTTGGGACTGTGTCCTCTACCCTTCTTTCTAGATAAGAATCCTAACATACCAGTTGGCTTGGCATGCGCTTCTACTAATTTAGCATCCGCGGGTAGGGTTGCATCTTGCTTGGCCAATTCTGACCAACTTCCAGTTTCGCCCAAGACCACTTGCATACCACCACCTTGTGATTCCTTGCGTATTCCACCAGGACGATGAGGGCGGTTGTATGATTGTTGATACGGTGATAAGGGTGTTTTGGTGGTACTTGGTGAATGTGAATGAGGCACGGAACGAGGAGGTCCTAATACAGGGCTAGTATTATGAGAAGGTTGTTGAGAGCCAGGAATTTGCGAGTTTGGAACGGGTGGAATATTTGCACTATTCGATGGAGATTCAGAACGTGAAGATGGTTGAGACCGCGAAGCTGCTCTCTTGCGATTCTTAGATAAAGTGCGCGTGAGAGTAGCTTTTGGAAATTCATCAGAAGTTTGTGACGCTGGAGTCGACGGGCTAGCATTTTGTGTCACTGGAGGCGGGGAATTTGGATCACCACCTTCATTGTATCTGAGAGTATTGAGTTAGCATAAGGGGAAACGAGTTGCAGGCGAGTGCTAACCTGTCATACGCTGCCTTGGTGTAATCAAATGTCGTATATTGAGCTTCAATCATCTTGTGGAGTTCTTCTTCCTTGATTTCCTTCTCTGTCGCATCCTCCTTGAGTGCCTCTCTTGGTTTTTGTCGACGTGCCCGAGCTTCTAAAGGTGCTTCCTCCAACAGTAACTCCTCGAGATCATAAGTAGCGTCGAAATTCGTCTTTTCACTAGATGGAACGAAAACTGGCTCTATTTCCTTTCTCTCGAGTGCCTCGAAATCTATGGGTCTGAAGAAAGGGTTATCGGTAAAAGTTTCGAATCCGGCTGAGCCCATTCGCTTCGCTGGGTCCTCCTCGAGAGCTGAGCTAATGGCATGTAAACATGGCATCGAAACGGCTGGTGCTGTGATTGGGAAATTCGGTGAAGCTTTGGTTATCTGTGCTGCGAGAGTTGTCTGTGTGCTACCTTCAAATGGCCTCTGAATACATTGGTTAGAACTGAAAACCGAAAAGTGGGGTTGACAGGATATTGAAAATGAGTCGAAAATACCTTGTTGTAAATACATTCGTAGAACAGTACTCCTAGTGACCACCAATCTGCGCCAGGTCCATACCCACATCCTTTGTAAACTTCTGGTGCGAGATAAGCTAGAGTGCCAGATTTGCTAGTTAGTAGTCTGTGTGAAGTGTAATCCGATGCAACATTCTGCAGGATGTTAGCGTTGTGTTCATACTCGGGACGTGTTCTGGGGAGGACAAACAAAATCTGCTAAATGAATATGTCCCTCGGAATCCAATAAAACATTGTCAGGTTTGACATCCCGATGTATGATACCCTGCTTATGTATGTACTTTAATGCAATCCCAAGTTCGGCAATCCAAAATTGCACCGCTTCCTCGGTGAAGGTCTTTCTCGAAATATGGAATCGTAAATCGCCTCCGTTCATTAAATCGACGACTAGATACCTGTGTGTTGAAAGATTAGTGAGTGCTTGTGGTCCAGGTCCAGATCCAGGTCCAGATCCCAATCAACGTACATGTACTCAATATCTTGAAAACTATATCGCAAATTACAAATAAATGGGTGATTCAGATGCTCCAACATTCGTCGTTCTCGAATAATATTCCGCACGCTTTCTTGTCGAACGACTGTAGTTTCCAGAAATTAGTAGTCGTTCGAGATTGGAATTAAGTATCACCAACCCTCATCCTTGCGAATGTACTTCAGCGCAAACGTCAATCCAGTATCCTTCCTCTCTACTATCCTTACTTTTCCAAAAGCACCCTTTCCAACCACTCGCAGAAGTCGAAAATGATTGAGGCTCACTATCGTGAAGAGGTCATATGTCAGCCAAAGTACTCATGGTGGTGGGATGATAGCGGTAACCAAGACGCAGAACCCCTCGAGAACTCGAGGCATTCCTAGCACATTCTCTTGCCACTGAAACCTCGAACAACCAAATTGCATTCATACCTTCATCTTCGAAGTTCACCGGCTTTCCAGAACTGTTTCCCATGGGCGCAAGATTCTGGGTGAAATCAAGACTCTCTCTCCCCTTATCCTCGATTTGACCAATAAATTTCTAAGGAAATGCGATTGAATTTGTAAATGGAGACATTCGGCGCAAAGCTATCAAATCATGCGAAATTGATGTGAATATGGAGATAACCGAAAGAGGGAAGTGTTTGGTTCGGGTCGGATCTTTGATCTTTTATCGATACTGAAGTTGATTAATTTTCTTGAAAGGAAATTGGCAGATGAAGTTGTTGTATGAAGCGAATATAAGTCGAAACGAAACGAAACGAAATGGGGTTGAGTTGAGTTAAGTTGGTGGAGTGAAAGAGTTATCCTTTGTGTGGAGATTTTGAAAGTATTGAAATGAATTATCTTGTATGAGTAATTGAATGAAGACCTATAGACAAGACGGTGTAGAAATTGGGAGAACAAAGATGGGATGGGATGGGATAGGACAGGATAGGGTGGTAGTCTCTGTCTGGACGAGAATCTTCTTTTTTTCCTTCTTCGTTTCCTTTGGAATGTTTAGGATGAAACTTGGTGTCAGAGATTAGAGACTAGAGGGTAGAGGGTAGATGGTAGAGGGTAGAGGGTAGAGGGTAGAAACTAGAAACTAGAAACTAGAGACCGGAGACTAGAGACAATGACTAGAGACAATGACTAGAAATTGATCAAAGGAATTTCTCTCCAGTGATATGTTTCAGGAAAGGGAAAGGGAACAATCAAGTGTCAATAAAATAATTATAAGGAATTGTCTGGTCTTGTTGTTTGGGAACGGACCACACGCCGCCTTTTGAAGATAATTTATATTTATTCACATTCGTGGTGGTGAATACTGTAAAGGATGATTTAGGTGGTGGATATATGGATGGAGATGGAGATGAAGATGAATATGGATA